GGCAGGCAGGCAAGCAGGCAATCAAACTATTTTCGTATAGGAAATCACTACGTGAGTTCGGAATTTTATTTTTCAAAATCGTTTGCTTGGTGATAAAGAGAGAAAGAGAGAGGGAGAGAGGAGAGAGAGAGAGAGAGAGAGAGAGAGAGAGAGGGGGGAGAGAAGAGTGATAGAGTGAGAGAGAGGAGGGGAGGAAGAGACGAGAAAGAGGATGGCCGATCAAAATAATGCGTGAATTAAAAAACAAACGCGTATCGTCTGACGAATGAACATTTTTATAGGAATTTACGTGGACCAGATGTTTCTTGTACACGCGAGATGGAGCTGTGATGGACCGATCATGCGATGCGCTTGCAGTGTTGTTGTTGATCTTGATGTTGTTGTTGTTGTTGTTTTTGTTATTGTTGTTGTTGATGTTTACACATATCCACGCGCACATATTTGGTTCCTTTGCTCACGGTCGTTATGTATTACTAAGGCGGTCAGTGTTGTTCTATATGTGACAGCGGTTAGCGCCTAACCCTGCTAAGATACACTGGCATAATGATAAACAGTATTACTGCAGCATGTGTGTGTGTGTGTGTGTGTGCGTGCGTGCGTTTATGTACGTACGGGTGTGTGCGTGTGTGCGTGTACGTGTGTGCGTGTGTGTGCGCTTGCGCATCTACATACGCGTGCGCGCGCGCGTGTGTGAGTGTGCGTGTGTGTGCGTGCGTGCGTGCGCGTGTGCGCGTGTGCGCGTGTGGAAACCAATTGCCTGTGTGATATCGATGATCTGCCGCTCTCTATCGTATGTTACCTTCGTCCTCGCGCATGCGCCGCACGTGATCAAACGGCCGGGCTGTGTCATTTCACCCCCCACCCCATCATCTGTCACTGCTCCTTAATTAAAAGCCTAATGCGAGACAGTGGGAAGAGAGAAAGAGAGAGGGAGAGAGAGAGAGAGAGAGGGAGAGACAGACAGAATGTGTGTGTGAGACAGAGAGAGAGAGAGAGAGATAGCGAGAGAAAAGAGAGAGAGAAGGAGTGTGTGAGAGAGAGACAGAATGTGTGTGTGAGACAGAGAGAGAGAGAGAGAGATAGCGAGAGAAAAGAGAGAGAGAAGGAGTGTGTGAGAGAGAGACAGAATGTGTGTGTGAGACAGAGAGAGAGAGAGAGAGATAGCGAGAGAAAAGAGAGAGAGAAGGAGTGTGTGAGAGAGAGACAGAATGTGTGTGTGAGACAGAGAGAGAGAGAGAGAGATAGCGAGAGAAAAGAGAGAGAGAAGGAGTGTGTGAGAGAGAGACAGAATGTGTGT